AAAATATGAATTGGAAGAGTGTGATTTTCTCCTTTTTATTAATCATAATAGCTGACCAAGACGTGTTACAGATTTTTATAAAGCATTGTACATTCTTTCTTGAGCTTAACTTCATTCAGAACTTTAATAGAAAATAAAAAAAAATCATTATTAGTATTTAATTGCAAAAACCATCATATATTAAAAGACTTACAAATTATAACAATATTATTATAGTTTCATTTAGTTATTTAACTATATATTTTCACTTACATTAATCGCTTTAAGTCTATAACTTGTTAATATTTGTTTAAGTAAAATTCAATTGTGAGTCGACAGCCGCTTTTGCCTGTCATTTTACATTTTTGTGGGTGTCATATTTATAACTAGAAAAGGGTGTCGTTGAGGGTGAAGGATTCATTTCAACATACATACAACACTACATACAAATATTATACTTAGATATTAATAATTTTACATTAAAATATCGTTTCTCGTTAAATAGTCTTCATAATTAATATTAAATTATTTTCATATCACGTAAGTAAGTAAGTAATAACACATGCAAATATTTATCTGTTAAAGTTACAAATCTGTTTTTAAATTAAAATTAAATCCCTTCTCATACCGGCTAGCAAATCGTTAGTCTTAATTTCAGTACGCCATGAAATAAGCTTGTTGTACACTGAAAGTGAAGCTATAAATGAGATGCTGATAATTTGAATTATAAATAAAAGCTATATAGATAGATTTAGTGAAAAATATATGCTATTTTAGCAGCCCCTAATACTAAAAGGAATCGTTATTAATAAATAAAAATATGTACTTTTATGAATATAATCAATGATGAAGATATACATAGTTTTCGGTGTTGAAAAACATAAAATTTCCCATTAAAATTCATATAGGTAATTGTAGTAACCAGCAATATTGTAGCAATGTTTTGTTTTGTTTTTTCATCAATACAATCGATCTGGATTGACGAATATGTGGGTAATATGCGAAATATACAAGAAATATATTCAGCTTTCAGTGTACCCAAAGCTTGAAGTGAAAAGCACAGTCAGACTCGCATCGTGATTGACGAGCGGCAATACTAAGCAAATATGAATAGTACCATTACATACAACGATACGACATCACTATACGTATTTTATAAATAAACAATTAAAATTATTCCATACATATAAATTATATATATAATGAATTAAAACGTAGGAAAAGATACTGAATGAGACGCAGTAATTTTTTATCGTCATGTAATCGTATCGTTAAGCCGTGTCGTCGTCGTGTCGTCACAATTAAAATAAACCCAACAGTTATTAAATTCACACACGCGCCACTAATTATCGTACGGACCCAATCTATTTATCAGAGAACGGATGCATACAATTTAATTTAATACAAATAGCTGATGTATATACGTTTTGTTATGATACTTTTACCAACTGTAAATAAGAGTGTTATGTTTCAATTTGATATTACTTTAAACTTATTAGGATAATCATACTAAAATAAAAAATAAATTAAATGTTTTTAAATGGAAAAATATTTTAGAATTTTAATTTGTGACCATATTTACTTACTAACTCAGTTTCTCTCTCATATTGTAGTCAATTCTATTCAGAAATTAAACATCTTGATCTCAAATTAATTTATATTCAAAGACAAAAACTACTCGACTACGCTAACAAAAAGTTATATCAATCAGTTAAACTATTGAAACTATAGTATAGTAGTAGTAGTTAACTGAAAAAAGGTTCTGTAGTTTTATAAAACTACGATCCAAACGAAAATATTTTACAGCTAGGATTTCCACGGAAACTATACTTTTTTATTATTTTATTTAAAAATTACAATCTCGTTTTTAAGCTATATTGAATTAATCAATCAATTTTGTGGCATATGCAGTCGGATATAACAATTTATTTTTATACTCAATTTATTTAAACAAATGATACAAATATCGTAAAGCAGTATCAGGAATACTAAGTGAAAATATATATGCTATACGGTCAGCGCATACGAGCCATTGGAGCCGCCATATTTGTCTTGGTTCCTGTCAAATTTATCCCTCCCCAATGATCAGCTATAATGCGACATGCAATAGGTAAACGAAATATTTAAGATCATATAAAATTATTTTAAGAATCATTGAAATCGTGAAATTTAATTATAGGTAATTGGATTTTTTATTGATAAAGTTTTATTCGCCAATCATTTGTATTATAAAGATATTTGTATAGCAAAGCCACAAATATGATCAAAATGGCAGGACATAAAACCATGTTCTAAGTCAAAATTTCCATATGCATGAGGAGCTAGTGGGCACGTCCATATACTTAATGTTATTGCGATTTACACTCTACACGGTTCACATAAAGTTGTTTATTGTATGAGATAGTCTCGAGAATCCATTTGACTACGCATTAGTAAGTAGTAGTAAGTCTCTTCAACGTAGGGTGACCGTACGTGAACACGTAACTTTGAAACTGATATTTCAAATTGAATAACTTTTAATGTATTAAATTATATTATTAATTTGTTGTATTTTTAATATTAAAATTAAGCTTAAAATTAGTCATTATTTACATATATTTTTAAATTACTTAATATTATTTGAAATATCTTTGAATATACGTAAAAAAAAACTTATTTGCATGATATGTAAGTAAATCAATTGTGCCGTTTTCATCCACCCTACATCTCACTATCCAAAATAAAATATTTATACAGAGAAGAGCAGTTTTTCTCTTTGATTCAGTGGTTTTATTGGTTCGGTTGGTTCGTAATAAATGTGTTGGGGCGACTAACCGTAAATAACATTATATCTGAATAGCTTGATTCAGCTGTAACCACTTAAGATATTACTAGAGTTGCAACACTTCGAATCCCCGACGATTATGTACCATAATGTTCTACATACATCAATTTACTATATATACATATAAATAAAATAAAAGGTAACTGTAGTTTTGAGCGGGTCAAGCAATATTAACGGATAAATTTAAATTGAATTTTCTATAATTGAATTCTCAAAAACTTGGTGCTTGTCCAAAAAATGTATTACATTATCTTATTATCTTCTTTACAAAAAAATATATTTTTTTAATGATTGATATATCTGTACCTCAACGTACAAAAACTTATACATCAAAACACAGACTATTTATAATATATATGTAGGGCCTCAAAGACATAAACATGACAGTCTCAATACAAACGTCTTTAAGTCATCATACAGAGCTATAATTTAGCTAATGGCTGATTATAAAGACTTCAAAGTTCTGTTTAAATCGAACCAAATTGTGATGTGAAAATTATATGTAAATTGAGGGTTTCTAAATTAAGAGTGATTCACGCGACGTCAAACGTCGAGAGGTTTGGGGTTCTTATGTTGGAATAAAAGATAAATAGTAAGCGTAAATGATTAAGTTCGTAACGATCTTTGTTTGTATCTAATGGATTTTTATTAAAATTAATAATACTGCTTATATATAAATGCTCGTACAGCGTACGAATTTATTCTCTCAATTAATGAAGCTGCGAAATGCTAGTAGATTTTTACTAGTTTTTTTAACGGTTAGTTGATGGCGTTCTAATAAAAGATAAAAGTGTGATATGGTTTCATGAAACCACAGAGCGGTTTTAACTTTTTTCGGATCATTTTACACATATAACTGAATAGTTTTGGGAAAATCATGAGTATTGAATCGATTTTAAGTAAACTTAATAATATACTGTGGTCAAGGTAATGAGAAATCCAAATTTAATCTTCGTATTAGGGTACGGATTAGATAATAAATAAAATGTTACACTGTCCTGATAGCTTTTCACAGTATCCCCACCCAACGTCCGGCTGTAATGCGACATGCGATAAATGAAAATAGCACAATGTAACGAATATGTACTTACTTACTTTAAAATAAAATTACTCAAACAAATATTCATTGTCATGTTAATATTCCTCGGAAGACGTATAGTTTTCAAATGCATACTTTTCTGGAAAAAATTTCTGGAAAAACTTTGATAACACTTAGAAAATATATAGTCAATTCTTAATGGTATTCATTATATTCATGTCTATTAAGGTACTCATATTTTTAGTTAATTTATTATCTATATCCTTTTAGTTTCCTTATATAATATACTAAAATTAAACAGAAATAAACGAACTATTTAGTGGAAAAATCGTTGGTAAATTATGTAAAAACTTTGACGAAGTATTGTTTAATGTATATATACATATTGAACGAAAATAGTCTTCTGGCAAAACAGAGGAGAATTGGCTTAAGTATGCTTAAAAGTTGTTTCAAATTTAAAAATAAACTAGAATATTAAATATAAAACACAAAGCTTGAGGAAAAGTTTCAGAGTTGAGTTGAGTGCTCCAGACTCTAGTTGAACTAACATATTTATTTGTAACGTAGAACTAAACAACGTTTGTATACAATCCTTAATATAACGTCCATATTATATTAAAAAAACTATTGGCTTTTTATTAAGTCGTGGAAAATTATATAGATAATAACCTAATATCGAAATCAGGGATTTAATATTTACAATATTCCGTGCAATTTTAATACCTATATACTAAACTAGTTAATATCTAATTTTTCTTTAATTAATATCTAATTTCTCTAATCATTTAGTGATAATATTTTTTTTAAAAAACATTACGTTTTTAATGCTTTAGTTTTTATTAAAAATTTTATATATTTTTTTGTAATTTATTTCTTTATCATAGAAATTTTATTGATTTCAAAATGGTCGATGTACTAAATTCCACTGTTGGTTCTATTTTATATAAGTACCTAATGAATGATATTGCATCAGACAATGTACATCTAACTAACGTTTGCCTTTCTTATATTTTAACTTCATAACATTCCTGTATCTATTTAAAGAAATACAAAAATAATTTCTTTACATTTAAACCTCACTATCGGCGCTCGTTAATTTTAAATGATCACGTATTTACTTGGATTAGTATTTTTTACAATCTTTTAGAAATATCCTTAATGGCTGTCTTAAATCTTAGTCGCTATCAGAGCCAGCTGAAAACGAACTCTATGCCTGATACACAAGGCGACAACGGAACTCCCATTACCAAGGATTACTGTTAGTATCCGTTAATGTTGCATATGTTTGGTATTAGTTGCATTACAGTAGTTAAAGTGTTACTGTAACCACCAGAACGACTTGTGACAACACATTAGGGTTTGAATCACGACGGGACGCCGCTGTGAAAACAAAAAGTAACAAAACATCTCTTAGTATAAACTTCTTCTTCTTCTACCTGGCAATTTCCCAGCTATAGCCAGGGTCTGCCTTACATGTTGTGACTTGTGTATAGTTTTGGCTATTTGTTTTTACAACCGGCCGCCTGAATGACATCAACCTTCTTTTGGAAAACAACATTAATCAGTGATGTCTAAATAGTCTTAGAAAGTACGTATGACTCAGAAAAATCACATTGGTACTTGCCCGGGCCAGGATCGAACCCGCGCCCTCGGCAACGCCTCTCGAGGCGGGCCCTTAAACCACTGGGCCACCACTGACTCTCTTAGTATAAACTATTGCTTCTAAATCTACCTTACAGAAATCTACTAAATTCTATTTTAGATCAAGGTATAGCGTTTAAAATGTCAGGTCTTTTATTTAGCGAGCTGTAAACGGTTAATTATAAAGACGTCAATGAGGCCTAATAAACATTTCGTTGGCTTTGTACTATTAAACGAAACGATTAGTTCGGATTAATACAGCACAGATAGCTTTGGACCTTAAACTACTTAAATTAAAGCTCAAAATCATATGAAAGTTTAAATATAGCTTACAAGAAACTTCATTGGATGCTAATATAATTGTTGGTTTATAAATAGCAGTACAAAATATACGTTTTAAATCTACTGTATCATGAATTATTCAATATGAATACATAAATATAAACAGAGACAACCTGGGTATAAAATGGAAACTGAAAACTATCAAAAATATACAGATTTATATAAAAAATGTATACATTGAATATATTTACAGATGTGTAACAATGATTGATCTCTGAAACATTTTGATTGAATTTAAATTATCTATTTGTGGTATAAAAGTTATATAAAATAATATGTACGGTAAATCAAGTCAAGCAAAAATCAATGCTCCAATATTTTTGGAACGGACAAAGTCACAGAAACTAAAATATGTTATAGGAGTATTTAACAAGTCTCCTTTAAGATAAAAAGTAACTATTTTCGCCTAAAATTCTCACATTAATTGAGCACCATGACACATTTCTCTATTTTTTCTACCAAAAATCCTTCACACTCCATTACAACTAAACCTATAAATAGTTTGACACGTCCATTTACAGCAAAAAAACGTCTCATTAGATTGTAAACGATTTGACACAAATGAAATGTGAACAAAAAACATATTATTAGTAAAACATGCCTTTTTTTAAACCAAACTGTCTAATGCATTCAAATACTTGAAGTCTGACCTGAAACAAGATCTTTGCAATAAAAACGCTGTTTCAATCGACCGATATACGTTTCTCTGTCCGATTGTCAATTTCAGCATTATTCGCTGGGCTATTAATTTCGTGGTAATTGTTCAAAGCGGTCAGTCTTTCTCTGAACGGTCATTATGCCTGTTAACAATGTATTTATAGCTTGCATTGTTTAGATTATATGCTTTAACCGAATGGTATTTCGCTATTTTAGAATTCCATTGCATGTGTGATTGACGCCTACAAACTGATCTATCTATCTATCTATATCTACTTTATATTGGATGTGTAATAAAACTATATTTAAAGTAATTCGGACCGTTTCCATCGGTAATATACAATTCCCAGCCAATACGATCCCTTTCCGCAAACGTTGACCGCAGCTAGTTTAGGTTTAAAACGCTTTTCGTGTTAGAACTGCTATTACCGTCATTTGACGTATTTATTATAATATGATGAACGTACTTTTGACTTTTATTATTTCCCTTTTTTTTACGAAAACTATAAAATATATTTCTAATGATCGATTGAAATTTGATGTACATAGAATCTTTTGGAATATATGTTATAAATAGAAATGAAATTGATAGATTGTACTGATTATCGTCTAATCTATGTCAAATATTTTTGGAGATAGTTTATCTGGAAGCCAAAAAGCAACTGCCATTTACAATTCAAGGCCATACCCTCATACATGACTCCCAAATATTAATAATCTATGACGAGTAGGGTTGGTGAAACAAAAATATTATTGTTGCTTTAGGATTACTTTATTACTGTCAAAATATTTGAAGGTTTTCCTCATATCGATAAAATCTAAGACAAATATAGTATAGATTGAAATAGTTTGAATGGCAGCCCTAATGTAATCCAAGATGCTAGTTATTTACAGGGCCATTAAGCTTTAAGTATAGGTTTCTCGATATTTATCTTTCCATGTAGGTGGTGTATTATTTTTTTATTAAAAGCATTATTTCACTATATAACTAATACCCTCTATATGATACGGGTCCATTATGTTGTCGGAAACCTTGATTTATAGCTGGATGATACACATATTGAATATTTTAATTCCAACGCCTCGGGGTTTTTGGTTTCGATGTTATATATTTAAATAATTACCTGATAAAAAAATGTATATTATTTTTGTAATAGAAATCTTCATTAATTTATGACTGGTTTATTTTGATTAACTGTTTCTAACTCTCCACAAGCAATGTCCAAAGTTAATAACTTTCTATGAATGAATTATTGAATTAATCTTTAAATATTATATGTTAAGTGTTGTACATTATTTATATAGTAAGTTTCTCCATATATACTATCTCTGACGACATGAAACTAATGATTTTGCCGTATAATTTTCTACTAAACCAATTTTTAGATCAAATAATCCATTATACATAGTATAAAACTCATAAAACCATATTTCGGATTCGTGTAATGTATGAGTGTTATTATTTACGAAACACTTAGAGAGCGTTTCATTTGAATTCATGAAGTATTTTGAGTCGAGGGAAAAATAGAGCCGGCATCATCTGAGACAGCTAGAAAATAAGAGCAGAAATTCTAGCATTTTCCATATTACCGGCGATTTAAGAGATTACCATTCGAATAGTTGATACCGAGCTTCATACAGGTACGGCGAGTGTGGTGGGTGGATGTTTGAAAGAACTTCGCATCAAATAGATTGAAGATTCATATCTAAAATCACTGATATCGAAAAATATTAAATATTTATATATACCTTAGCTAGATTCAATACATTACTTTAAAATCATTCGCATAAAATTTTAAATTTAATCTAAAATTATAAAAGAAATCAGTGAAATTTTTTCACCTTTACCTCTTGTTTAAGGTCACAAAAAATCTATAGTAATAACATTTGAATGTATTACCGAAAAAGGTTGTATTGAGAAAAGTAGTCAGGTGTTCCCAACCGGCGGCCGTCATTAATTTCCATTCTGTTTCCGAACCAATGGAATATATAGCAATACCCCTGAGATTGAGCGCCCCTGAATCTTGTGTTATTGTTACATTAACGTTTTCATTACTCACATTATATTTGGAAAAACGAAAAATCGTCGGGAAGTTTAGAAGATATTTGATTTTGAAATAAAATCTATTACGGGTGGTCTTTATATGAAAGAACTCAAACAACTTATTATAATAACACAGGAATTAATGTTTATTTTAATAGATTTTTGAAGAAAAATTATAATCTAAATGAAACCATTATATTTTGGATTATACTACGCGTATTTTATTATTTTAAAACTACACACTCCTGACGTTTCCGTTACTTTTCAGCAACCGTGATCACGGTCAGACGAGATGTCGTAGTAATCTGAATAATATTAGTTTCATTTAAATGAATACTAACGAAAGTCTTAGATCTCATTATTATAATCTAAGTATAGACTTCTAGTTTATGATAAATATATAAAGACCAGTATGTATATACATATATATTGCAGCGGCCCTCTCTTAACTAAATTCTATATGTCTTTGTCAGTATTGTAACAATAGTAAGTTAAGTTCGTTTGAATCCCGAAGTCATACAGTAATACGGTCTCCAATCTCTTTGTAAGTTAAACTTGGTGAATACCAAACAGTTTATTTAAGTGGATCTATAGCTTAACTCATCGGACTTGGTGTAAGGACTAAGGAGGCTCTTGAGGCGAGATACCTTCACTTGTATTATACAAAATAGTATTTAATATAAATATATATTTAAAATTATTGATAAAAAAATCTTATTTTAAGTAAAAATCTGTTATATTTATGTTTTTCTATATGGTTAAGAGTGCAAGCTGTTCAAGAGTTTAAAAAATTTTGACATTATCTAATTTGTCATTAAGAAATGGTTTTATGATAAATTTAATAATACTGAAACTAACCAAAATAAAAACAATACACAATTATAGTGAAGTTCTATAGATGAACATCGAGATATAATTTCTACTAAAATATATTTAAATATAAAAATATCGTATACAATTATTGAATATTAACTTCAATGAAAACATAATTCTATTATTATGCTTCAATATATCCCACAAATAAGTTATTCGAATATAATATAAACATATATAAGTTAATCAACATACAATATATATTTATTTATTCCATATATATCAATTGAAACCGACATTAATGAGACTACAAAAGGAAGCTTCCTTATAAGTACTTAGCAGACTGTTTGAATGATAAAAGTAATTTGCATAAAAAATACTTTTGTATACATGAATCATAAGTTTTTATGATACAATACAAAAACGGTACAGAAATTATTTTGTATAATGAAAAACTTTTAATTGACTTATTTGTTTGAATTAAATGGTGAATGTGGTTTGAAAGTGATAGAATAAAATGAGGATTTTTATTTATTTTGTTCGACTGTCGGTTTGTTTGTCCTTATTTATCAACGAAACATATAATATAGTCAAATATTTGATACAATAATATGTGAAGTTTTTTTAAAAAATGATTATTAAGTTACAATAAATGTGACATTATATGTATACCTAATTAAGACTGCGGACATTGCAGATAATACCATCTAAGGTATAGTTTTGTCGCCTGGCTCGTTTTCAAAACTAACGTTAATTAAATATTTGTGGTTTTTCTGTTGTCATTTGTTGTTGTCTGTTGTTGTCTGTTGTTATTCTGTTGTCAGTCCCAGCTATAGTTCAGGACACTTCACCGATGTTAATAGAACTAATGGAAATTCACACTTGTATTCGTTTTGTATGAATTGAATAACAATTTAAAGAAATATACTTTTCGGTTGAAATAAATATTCATGTTCCAGATGTTGGTAAACTTGTAAGAGGTCAGAATTTAGTTATTTTAAAGAAATTGAGCTCGAATAAAGATTTTGGTCAAATGGACAGCCTTCAAACAGACAGAAAGTCAGAATACTCAGTCTATGAATAACTTTAAAAAATGTCAGTTATTCAGCGAGTTAAAATTATAATTTGTTTGTTTAACAGCTTACACATTTCTAGTTAAGAAAATTAAACTTCGCTGGCAGAGCTCCAAGTTAAGTAGATAAAATATTATCACGGGCTTCGCTTCGGCATTGCTAACAATGGATTCTATAAATATTTATTTATTTGCAATAAATCTAGCGAATTATTGAATATTTTATAATAATAAGTTAATTTATTTAATCTTGAATCATATGTAGCGTATATATTTAGCATTTAGCTTGACCGGACTGCGTCTCAAGCTGTAAAAGATCGATGTAGCTAGCATAAAGCTCTCTAGCTGCAAACCGTTCCATCACTCCTGGTAGATATATAAAGCTTTAAAAGCACTATTATTTTCTTCCTAGCATTCTAACAATTCTCTTTATTCCAAACATATGCAATAAACATCTTCGACAACACAATATACTGAATCCACCAAATACAGTTCAGCTCCATACATTCCCGTCTACATATATATCTGGCAAATAAGAAGTTATTTAGTAATTATAATGTAGGTACATTGTTATACAAATTTCGCACGCTCTATCCAAACATGTCATGTTACGTTAATCATAAATCAAACGCCATACGCCTAACTAAATTAAGTAATTATATAAACCAGCCAAATTAAAGAGCAGTCGTTTCAACCGTGTTCAACTGGAAGGCCGGACATGATATTGTTAGTCGTGTAATATGTTCGCGTTACTATTTTCCATTATAACGTTATCTTAAATCTTGTGTGAATTTCAACTGAATGTTTTTGGTCCGAGGCGTGGTCGGTTTATTAAATTTAAAGCCACTTTGCTACCTACAAGTTCCTTAATAACATCGGCTTAGTGACCAACCTTAAACATGTTCGGATGAAGCCTAAAGCCTAACTTTGCACTTTATAACGGTTTGCTGTGTGTTCAAACTAAAGCACATTCTCTTATAACGTACCTATATATTATATATGTCTAAGACTAGTCTATGTATTGAGACTTTAAGCTGTGTTTTGAGTGTCAGTTGCTGCAATAAACAGTTTTATATAAGACTCTTGCGGATTGAATATATCTTAATATATAAAAAAAATTGTGTTAGTGACACTATTTATAACTCAAGAACTGGTTGGAAATTGGTGGAGATAGATTAGAATCAGGAGACGGACGTAGGATATTTAATTCTGTTCGATCGAAAAAACTTAATAAATTACAATTTCTGATTATTTGTGGACGCAAGGGCAGAATAGAGTTCGCCCGGTCAGCTATACATATATTACTAATTCCAAAATTAATGTGGACGAAGTCGCTGACAGAAACTAGTATATATATAAACAAGATTCTTTGGGCATGCACATCTTAATGTATCGTTTTTCTCTGTATATTTATAACGCTCCTTAAAAGTCTTATCTTCCTACAATGATGTTCTGTTAATGTATTATTATCCTTTATATTCTAGTTATGTCCAGTTTCCATGTTTTGTCCGTGTCAATTGGTCTCCCATTGTGCTTCCACCGACAATATCAATCCTCAATGGCTTCACAATGAGCCCCTAACTACATAATGTCATACAATTCATATAATTTGTACCATTATAGAAATAAAAGCTGTAATTTATTTCATAATAATATTTTTACACTTATCTAGAAGTGTTCTCGTATTGATGATTGTAATTTTTTGAAACGAATTCTTACGATACATAGTAATAGATCAACAATTTCACAAATTACTTATTTTATAAAATCGTAGAAATAAAATTAAAATAAGTGCTATATGTTGCTTACTATGCATTAGAAAGGGAGAAATTTGTGTGGTATTTTAATGTGAAGAAAAAGTCAGTATAATTAGTGGCGGGAAGTTAAGACTGACAAGCAGAAACACCTAAAGACTACTTGAAGTGGTTATCCGTGAGACTTAGTACTGTATGAATGTACAAGACTTAAAGAACTCTCTTCCTTGAGAACTAACACTAGCGTGATATTTACCACTACACTATATTACTACACGTATTACTTGAAATTAGCAAAAAGGACTGATATTAAGCACGATTATTAGATTCTAATATAATAACAAATAGTATATACCTACATATTAATTTACTAGTTTTTGCCCGCGACTTCATCTGCGTTAATATGAGCATTAGTAATATACAGGGTGACTGGTGAATTACTATCAATATTTAAGGAGAATACTCGGTACATGATTCTCATTCGAATTATGTAAAAAAATAGGTAGTTAATTTTTGACCAAATTTCCGTATAAATAAATAAAGTGTGGACACGTTCCAAGTGTTCCAAGTGTGGACGCGTGCGGCGGCGTGCTGATACAACACTACGCTGCCGCACGCGTGTGTGTGTGTGTATACCTAATCTGTAGGGTGTGCACACGATGCGTAATTAATTACATAACTTTTGGTTAACTTTACTTAGAAGTTTATTAATATTTATGTTATAATAATTTTTATTTTGTCATATATGATCGTCAAATATCACGACCTCAAGAATCGATAGTAATTCACCAGTCACACTGTATATACGTATAGCTGATCGGTCGAACTCTGTTCCGATCCAGACGCCTTAAATGACCAGATATTAGAATTAGAATTTATTATGTTATTTTTCTTTTCGATTGATTCAAGTAGAAAAATATTAATTCGAGAAATCGTATTGGTTAAATTAAAAAACAAAATCGTATATGTTAATGTACAATAATCAGTAAACACGACAACCGCTCATATAACTGTACATACATTTTTTATGTTTTAATCGCTTGAAAGCCTCATATTATGTAAGAAATAATAATATGTTAGAACACACGCTGGGAACTATTGTGGTAAACGATTATTGATTTGTATTGAAGACTCAAATATAGTTGATACTGATATTTACTATAACAATATTGAAATAATAATATTTTAATGACGCATTATATGTATATGATATGAATTAAGAAATATTATTTCAGAAAATCAAGCTTTAATTAAGTGGATAAAAGAATGTAATAAGTGTATTTATTTTTCTATTTCTTTAATATATAATGCAATTGGTATGATATCTAAGATTTTCGCTAGTTTTATTCAAATAAAAGTAATATTTTTCGGATATACTAAGTACGCGATGTTATTTTTGTAAAAAACTACACACTCCCAACATTTCGGCTACTTTTCAGGAACCGTGATCACGAAGACGAGAAAAGTAGCCGAAACGTCGGTAGTATGTAGTTTTTTACAAAAATAAAGTCACGTAGTAGTATATCCGAAAAAAATTGGTTTCATTTAAAACAAATTTTTGGGTTAACTTCCGCGAAATTTAAATTGAAAACTGTTTATAACGTAGTATGTTTTGTCGTAACTCTAATTATATGTTATTTCGTCAGGTTGCTCGTTCCCGGCTCGTTGGCAGGGTCGCTGGTTCCAATCCGGCGTGATCCAGCCCATCATGATAGACGGAGCTGTTCTCTCCAACAAGGGGAGGTGCCTCTCATCCGAGGGGGACAAGTTCCTTATAGTCGACGAGTCAGTATACACTGTACATACACTACTCATGTAGTATCAAAGACAGTTAAATAGTCCTCTTTCAAAGTATATTTAAATCAACATTTATTTAGAACTAGCTGCGCCCCGCGGTGTTACCCGCGGATTTCCGGTATTTAAAGTAGCCTATGTGCTATTCCTGGACGTCAACTTCCTGTATACAAAATTTTATCAAAATCGGTTCAACCGTTTGAGCGTGAAGAAGTAACAAACATACACACATATAAACTTTCGCAATAATAATATTAGTAAGATAACCATTAGAACATTATATCTTTATTACAAAAAGTTTATTATAAATAACAATACGATGAGATTTTTTAATTAAAATATCTGCATTGTAAAGTATAGAAATGCATATTGTATAGTTTAAATTAAAAACTGGTTATGCAAATGGATCTTTGTAAGACATCAAGTAGAATAAAGTCAATTCCGTCATCTTATTTGAACTTCCAAATATTTCGTATCCTCAAATAGACGAGGGCAATAATTTTAATCTAAGAATTATGCGTTCGAGACGTCATTGTGGAGCTGTTGAATGTCTCGGAGTGTCTTTCGATAAAATCTGAAACGAGAACATTTATCACTTTTGTCATTTTACATTACACGAAGTTACAGAACCCGACACCTTTGTACGGATGAAATGTATCATTGACAATGAAATAAAAGATCATTTATATATAAATGATATTATACATTCATTTTGTGGATAATTAAAAACGTGTTGGATTAATCATTTGTTTGTAATAACAATATGTTTCATTATTAACAGCTAGTAGTCATTAATGTATTTTGTTTCACCATTTTATTATAATAACGTTTTATGAATTAACATTGTATTGTTTTATTTCAGGAAAGGTTGTTACCGCTGTGTTGTGATGCACGAGAAACATATTAATGTACTACAGTATAAAGAAAGTGAGTTATTTTAGTGTTTAATATATAAAGTATCGTATTACTGAAACACGTAATCTTTTATCAAATGTAATCAAATATATCCCACCGCCCACTAACGTTATGTCCTACGTGGGTTTAATTATATTACCATGTTTATTTTTATCTAAAATAAAATATACTTCTTTTGGTAGGTATATTAATATAAACATTATGGTTAAATTTCATAATAAATATGTATACGGATGAATAAAATGTGATTAAAATGTGTTTTTTTAACTTAAATTATTTTGTTATAAAGAATTTTCTTTGAATATGACGTGGTGTATTTAATGGAGATTTCGTAATAATAAAATATAGCACAACATATTGATGACATTATCCAAAACATTAAATCTATCAAAATATATTTAAATAATGAGCAGTAATCAATGTAAATATGAAATAAATGATTTAGTGACTGAAAAACTGTTTCAATGTAGATAATAACTATACGAAAGAACAATAAAGATCTGAAACAACGATCAATTAATACGTACAAAGCTGTAAGCCAAAGGTATTATACAAATACCTATCACGTATAAAGTTATAGATATATTATTTGTTTAAAATATAGTTGTATGAATATTTTTGTCATATAATATCCAAGAAAGAAAAGATGATCACTTATAAAACTGTACAATTCTTACACTCGTATCAAATATCTGACGTCATGATTGCCCATCATTGGATAATCATGACGTCATCAGTTTATGTTTATTATCTTGTCTCGTTGGATGTATAATGGTGTATATTTTTCCAGCTTTCTGTCACCGTCGCGATGCGTTGCCCCACCTATGTTCTTCTATCACTGGTGATGCGTTATTATATTCTATGTTTCGGGAAAGCGCAGAACCCGTCGACTGCCCTCTCAAAGGACCCTTCTCATTTACTTATAACAGGTGACTATATAATGATTAATTCATTTTGTACTAAGAATTTAATATATATCTACTGTAATGTATCGGACTTTGAAGTCATTCATAGTATTAAAACTATAACTTATAAACATCAGTCCAAGCAAGTCATTTTTTATGTAAGCTATTCATTACATAGATTTTATGACAAAAATCTTTGAATACGAAATTCTTATTTTGTTTTATGTTTATAAATATTTTTAACCGTCTGTTTAATGTCCGGATAATTAACCAAATTTGACTAAAAGTAGTGACAGCGAGTATGTACGTTTGATCAAGTTGGTGCAAGTATTAATTATGATGATTCCGTTAAGTCACATTAAGTGATCAATTATCGTATTGTGGTCGATCAACGCGATGATTAACTTCGGTTAAATTAAAAACTCATTACCGGCCGACGTGTGTCGCTCTGACCGAATTGGCTTTTGAACGATTCACGTGTCGACTCGGATTAAACGACGACAAGACAATTGTGTACAAATACTAATGACAAGGACGTGTTAAAAGAATATATTATCATATTAATATTAACCAAATTTTATCTCATGTTGAAGGAAACTAATATTATTCGGATTACTACGCGTATTTTAACTACATACTCCCGACGTTTCGGTTACTTTTCAGCAAACGTGATCACAAAGACAAGATGTGAATGGCTATCTCATGTTGTTAAATTAATATATATAAAATCTTTATATACATACAGGAATAAAATCATGTTTCCACTTATTTATCGTATTGCGTTGTTTTATTGAGCAATCTTTAAAATATTAATAAATACGATACGTCATGATAATAGTGCTTTTATTTAATAAGGATCGCTTGTTATGTGTAACCAAAACTAGCCAGACCCGGTATGTACCATCATAACTAATGTCGACCAATAACCTTTGGGAATGTTGGTAAGTTATGGGTCTTAGGAGATGACTTCGGTCAAATAGATCGAATAGTAGGATTGTGTTATTATACTTGAACAAATTAAACAGGAAAATACGAAAAACTAATATTATTTTAAAATTATTTAGTAACTGAAACTATGCAAGACTAAATATATGTGTAACAATGGTTTTAAAGTCAGTTACTATATATATACTAACTAACACGGCTAACGTTGTTTTGCCATATAAAAAATAGGGGTTGGTGATAAAAAAATGACTAAAAATTAAAGAAAATAGTTAAGGGTGGACAACCCTTATCACTAAGGGTTGTGAAAAATAGATGTTGGTCGATTCTCAGACCCACTCAATATGCTCACAAAATTTCATGAGAATCTGTCAAGCCGTTTCGGAGGAGTACGGGAACGAACATTGTGACACGAGAATTATATATGCATACTATGTAGAAGACCCGGCGAACTTCGAAATATCTGTTACGTTTTTTTATTTATATTTTAGGAATTTACCTATTAAAACCATAAATCTCCGTGTTTTGATGTGCGACAGAATGATTGACATATTAGTTAGTTGTCAAATCTAATGTCAAACAAAAAACGTTTGTATCAACAACTACTAATAAATTAAAAAATTAATGAAAAAAACGTTGTGCAGCGGACTTAATTGTGAATCTAAACCATTCCCAGATCCCCTTGAACACACACAAAAAATTTCATCAAAATCGATCCAGTCGTTTGAGAGAAGTTCAGTGACATACACATTCACAGAAGAATTATATATATAAAGATAATATATGCAATGTATGAAATATTCCAGGGGACATGGTGATTGTAAGATCCCAGCTTCATCTATCGAGAGTTGTACAGAAGATTCAAGACTGTTACTCAACTATCAGGCGTGCCCTGATGTTTACGGATCAGAAAGTACAGGTAATAGAGCAACTGAGCATTTATATTAATGAGTCATCAGTTATAACTGAGTATTGAGTAAATTTATATGATTACTGATATCAAATCATAAATTAATTAATACAAATTATTAAAAGATTAATTAATAAAAAATATATTGTCATTTTGTTTAAAACTCGAGTTAGTTACACTATTTATAACTCAAGAACAGCTGTACAGGTTTTCTGAAAATTGGTGGAGAGATAGCTTAGAACAATTGAAAGTACGTAGGACATTTTTCACCCGATTGAAAAATATAAAAAAATATGTTGATCAAATCCAAAATCTTTTTATCTACTGTCTTTAATGAGGAATAGAGTTCGCCTAGACAGCTATATATCTCTAATTCTGAAACTAATGCAGACAAAGTCACGGCAAGAACTAGTTAATATGAAAAACCAATTTATTCGTAAACTATGTATTTAGTCGTGTTTATATCAGTGATGTTCCAAACATATATAACAGAATTGTCCCCGTCTTCCAGACTATTGTTCAACATAGAACCCAAAAATAACTTTTGGATCGTTCATTGGTGTTGAGCTATTTTAATAATATTTGTCGCTAACTTATCTATGTTGTATATATATAATTTAATCTGTTTATATATCAAACTTTAAATAATGAGCTACAAAATGTTTTTATATAAAAAATATGCTTGAAGATTCTAAGTCTCTCTATCTATAGTCTATTTCTCTAAGTTAATGCGACAACTCCATTGATAGGTTTGCAAATGTAATATAATGTAGCTACAAAAAGTTCTTATATAAAAAATATGCTTGAAAATTCTGTTTTTCTAAGTCTATATGACAAATTAATTAATAGGCTTGTTTGCAAATGTGTTTCAGTGGAAGAATTAGAATGCTTAGCGACTTGGAAGGAGGGTAGTTTGAGGTTTCTTGTGGGCAAGTTACATCACAACCACGCCACCAGCAATGAAGACAGATACCGCTGCTTCGTGTACGAGAAGACAAATGGTATTGGTAAGATTAGTGTTTTAGTTTTTGTTTCTATAATTATTCATTGTTTTTTATATTATTATTTAGTTGTAGCTTCATATAGCTTATTTACAAGATTCAATCTAATTTAAAATGTTTTTTTAAGCCTTCCATCTATAGGAATAGTATTTTATAATGGATTTTATTCTATCTTTGATATTTCGTTTGTTTTCTTTTTAAATTATTGTTCGAAACAAATTTACATTATAAGATCTCTAATACACATAAAAATTGTAACAATTAGAATTCCTCCTTCAGGTAATAGATATTTAAATCCTAAATATTCAATTCGGGTTTTACTAATAGTTATTTTCTTCCAGCATCAGGTAGTAATATGAAGGAGCCAGCCCCTGGTGGGGTTGAGTATAGAGTGGCTCAATCAGGAGACGCCACGTGTAATGGACTGTTCAGTGCGACAGAGGGCTCACGGACTATGGCTTTGAAACGAGGTAATACACGAACTCTCAAATATATATAGGTAAAAAAAGAATAATAAGTCGTGATGGCCTAGTGGTAACAAGTCCGCCTCACATTCACGAGGGTTTAGGTTCGAATCCTGGAAAGAACCAATGTGATTTTTTCGAGTCATATGTACTTTCTAAGAGTATACAGACACCACTGACAGATGAAGGAAAACATTGTGGCCTGGCCTAATTTGAAATTATAAGTTTGAACAAGCGTGGTGATTAATTCTTCTCAAACCTTCTCCAAGTGAGAATGAGACCTTTGCTCAACAATGGGCTCTGTTAGGCTGATGATGAAAAAGGAATTGTTTATAATTTACATTTCGTTAGTCATTACTCATTGCAAATTTAAATCGATACCTCCCACGATAGTTGTTGTATCTCCAAAACTGTAAATTTACAGTAGAACGTTTCAAAGATCCAAATTAAACCAAAATCTGCAAAATTTTTAAATTACGACATTAGGTACGCGTCTGACAAATCCTTCCAAAATAGTGATTTTTTTTTTGTTTTTTTTTTTACTTTGAATGGGTATAATGATCTATAATAGAATATTTTTCAGAAAAAAAAAGCAAAATAGAATTTTTGTGGCAAACAACAACTTACGTAGGAGGTATCGAAATATAGGTTCTCCTTATAGTTAAAATAACAATCCCTACTAATATTATAAAAGCGAAAGTAACTCTGACTGTTTGTCTGTCTGTTACGCTTTCACCCCTAAACCACTGAACTGATTTTAATGAAATTTGGTACAGAGATAGAATTGACCTTGAGAAAGAACGTAGGACAGTTTTTATCCCAGACTTTTGAAAGGTTCTCTTGGAAACGCGATATAACCGAACTCCACTCGGGCGAAGCTACGGGCGGATAGGTAGTTTAATACATATAAACAGTGGCGGCTGTACCTTAAGTGCACTCGTGCGCTGAACCACCAATTCAATGGATTTAAAAATTACAAAATATTACTTCATCTTTATTTTTAAATTACCATTTTAATATTTATTTTTAAACATATAAAAACGTATAAAAAATTAAATTTCCTAATATTATGGTCAAAGAGGTTGAGCGCTTTACTTAACTCATACCGTGCGCTTCGGCGAGTGCACGAGGACTGCTAATACATGTTGTATGAGATACGAATAAATACGCCTGACGCGTGAGACAAAAGATAGTTCATAGAAATGTACCGAGTAATGAGTCGGTTCTCGAGCGCCGCACGAACGGCCGAAGATTACCGAGAGCACCCGATGTATGACGAATTGAGCCGTGGCCCTTGATTGACATCTCGTTATGTTTTGTTGCATTTTCTAATTTTAATATTTTAGTATTAAGTGCATCACCGGTTCGATTACCCACCAGCCGCCACTGCATATAAATAACATTAAAGTTCCCATTAAATTAATTTATACGATAAATGTTCAATACACATATGACATAGTTCATCTTTAGTTACTGACGTTTCCTCACAGATGTCGCTAGTGTTATGTACACATAGTTAATATATCAGTTTCAGTTCGTTTCAACTGTCAGTTTCCCTCATGGATGACGTTCTCCCACACGTGGCATACACTGGACTTCAGCAGTAACTACACCTTCTACCAACGTAACGCGACCCTTCGTATCACCAATCAAACTGGGTCAGAGATTAAAGTATATTGTGTCAGTATAAAAGCCAGTTCGCCGAGCGGCAACTCCGTCGCTTTAGTAGCGCACTGGCAACACCATTGGTGAGTCAATGTGTTATAAAATTAATAATTGTACGTAAAATAGTGATAAAGTATAATGTTTCTATCTATTATTTATTTACTGACAGTATTGGCTTGTAAACTATAAGTTTTTTAGTTATTTGATATATAAATAGTAGCCTAAGTCACTCCATATTAATTGAGCTATCTCAGAGTTAAAATCACATCAATTATATTCAACCGTTTCAAAGATTAGTTGGAACGAACAGACAGATAAAGTGTTATAAAATGTTATTTCGTTACATATGTGAGCACAAAGAAATAGTTATATATAACGCTACCTAATCGCCTCTATACAATATGAGTCATCTTTCGGTGTTATAACACTGGGACAGAGCTATAAAACCAAGCGATTCCTGCTCCTGAACTAAACCCCCCGGACCTTTCAGGCCCGAATTTAACGGGTAGGTCTCATCGGGGCACCCACCGCTCATGGTGACACTTTTAAAGCCATTAGGGCTAACAGCTACAGTTAAATAGAAACAAAACTCCTGAAATCAGTTGTGACCTAACTGTTATAGGGCATGCTCAAACTTTGTTAAAAAGCTCTGATGTCGGAAAGTCACAACGGAAAGTAACGCGCCGAAGATACTTTTCCGGATTTACCGTGTATACAATCAAGTTAGAAAGTATTTTATGATTGTAAATGAACGTTTTAGTTATACATTATATAATATATCTATGTGTGTGTGTTTCAGCGTGTCTCGTTTCGTGTGCGTGGTGTTGTATCGTCGAGACACATTCATAGCGGAGTTACAGCGAGGCTCCCCGGCCGTTCGGCCAGACGACGCCTGCTCCACGCATCACTTCAACGCTGTCACAGCTCCATACGTCACGCTTGTGGGTCAGTTGACATATATATAATAGCTTATATACTATAAATATAGTAATAAATCAATGGAACTGGTATGGGTTCATCCAGCGGTAAGTTTATGTAATTTGGGAATTAATTATTACGTATTCCTTTGTGCTGTCTGAGGTACATTATAATTGAGTTTCATTGAAATCCGTCAAGTAGTTTTTGTATGATAGATCAACAAACACGCATACATCCTCAAAAAATTAAATTAAAAATTATTTTCAACTAATCGCAACGATTTACAATCGTGCGTACAATAAAAAATCCTAAGAATCTAACTCTGTCATATATGCGTACATTAAGCCATCATTTTGATTTCCAGCAAGCAATCCCGAATCAAAAGAGTGTCCGGATTCAGGGAAGTACGTGATATCAAACAGACGTCACAAGAGAAGCGACTCGAGGAACGATATGGAGAGAAGTAGGAGGAATAATACGATGTTCAGCTTTAATATAAGGAACATGTCTGACACGAACATGTTGAGGAGTCGCAGACACGCGGAGCTCGCGAGCTGCTCCGGATACAACAGACTGGAGGTCGGCTGCTCGTCTACCAACAACATGGAGTTCTACTCGAGCTGCGACAACAGAGAACTTGTTACAGGTTAGTGAAGATATACTTGTAAGAGAAGAAACTTCTAATCATTCAATGTATTTACATTGCGGGTGAAAGACGATAGCTGTAGGAGGATTTGCGATCCAGGTGTAGGTGTAAGGGGTCCCTATCTAACGTGATAATTATACTGAGTTTAAGCAAGGAAAGATTTGAATAAATTCAATTTGGGCATCTTTTAAGAGAGTTGGGTTTTATGACGTGTGATTTTTATTCAAAAGTCTCATATTTATCAACATTTTCTCTACCTCCCCGTTTCTCTTATATTTCCATATCAAGCTGGAGATTTCTCTTGAATTGTTCAGTATCAATTCATCGACAACCTGCTTTAAATACACACCCTAATGACACATACATAAGTTGATTATAAATGTAAACAGCGGTCAGTATGACGTTTTGTCCTGACCTATTCGACCACACCAGACTAATAACACCTCATTCTGATTTCTTGATTACAAGTATTATCTCTATCTCTCTCTATGTATATCTGTCTATCTCTCTCTATCACCAGCGTATATGTCTTTTTATCCTGACCTATCTGAACACACCAGACTATTTAGACCCTATTAAAAGTATTATCTCTATCTCTATCTATATCTATCTATCTCTGTCTATCTCCAGCGTACACGTGTCACGGCGGCTGGTACGAGGGCGGGTCGTCGTTCGTAGTGACGACTCCAGTGACCCGGGACAGCACGGCCGCCCGCCGGTACTGCTTCGTGTCCCGGGACGCCCGCGGGACACTGTCCCTCACACGCTCACAGGATAACTGCGAGCGGGGAGAGAGAACCAATGTGGTCTTTGACGCTGTATTCACTGGTGAGATTTGGGTTACCAGGATAAAATGACACCGATATATATGAGATTATTTTAATTTTCATCTATTTAGAAAATGTATTAAAACTGATGTTTATTATTGTATTTTTTGGCTTCGTTAAATAAAACCATTGAAATGTAGTACAATATTAAAAGGCAGATTTATTTAATTTCCTACATCAGAATTATAGTATCAACTGCATTAAATAGTAACTACAAAAATATATAGCCGTGCGTCAAAGGCAGCGCTGCCGATCGCATGAACTGTATATACATTAAGATTAATTTACAATTTCTCTCTGAAAACAATTTCGAAGTCCCAGCGGACGAAGTCACATACAGAAACTAGTCCATAACCGTTCTTCAATATGACGTTATATTTTCTAACATTCTCAGTGTAATAAACGTTAATTATATTTCCAGGTAAATGTCAAGACGAGCCCAATTACCAGCCGTCGGTATCACCATCACTATTCATCATCTTCATCATTCTCATCACACAGCTCGTGTGGAGGTGATTCAACGACACATCACATAGGATACCATCACATATACCACGCATAATACAACTCGAATTTATTTAATATTATTTATTATATCGCTCACGTAGTTTAAAATTTTATTTAGATTTAGTTATAATAATCACACTTGTATAATAACCCAAGTTTAAACCGCTTAAACATATTTTTTAAATCAAAACATTCTCTCGTAGAAAACACTTAATTTTATGTTATTCTATGAAATGTTTAAAGACGTTTTGCACTCATTAAAATAATTACGGGACATAGTATTTTAGATAAATATTTTCGCTATAAATCATGCTCGTTTCTATCATACGACTATTTACTGCACATTTTATCTACTCACGTGTCACGCTTAAAGATATTTGTATTTTAATAGTATCTTTAAGCGTGGGACGTCGGTCCTTTTAACTTTTTACTACAAACTATGTATACATGATATTCACTTAATGTTTTATAATGATATGTAAACGTGTATTGTAATATATATTGCAAATGTTTGTAACTTATTTTGATCGTTATGAGATGGTGCAAATGGTTGTGAATATGTGTTATACCCGGGAGGGAAGCCATCTTGCTTTTCAAAATGGCCGTTGCGATGACAACAGCTGTTTCGGGATTACATTTATTTGTCAATATTTCACATTGATTTTATTCTTGTAGTACAGTATCCGTTTAATAGATTTGTTATGTAGTTGACTCTCACTCTATACAATAGTTCTCGTATAAGGCTCTAGATCGTGCTTGACATATGTTTATTTTCATCAATGACCCCTCACACTCGTAAGTAATATAAATTTAGCTTTAATCACAGCATCGAAGACTGTATATTCAGAATGTTAATATAAGAATATTTTCAGCTTATAATCATATCTATGTTAATGACAAAGTTTTCATAGTGACAGTATTTAATAGAATGAACACGAAGCTTAGGAAATATGTACAAAGTTATTATAAAGTTGTTGCGTAGCTAGAATAATTTAGCGATTATTTTTCTATAGAAAACTTGTGTTTGAATACGTGCATCAGAAACAATTAAACGGTGTGGCATTTATTATTTCGTAATAATTATTGATTTGTTACCGATACTTTGTTTAAACAGCAAGAAAAACATTTTTAACAAATTGTAACACAATATTCTAGGAAGGACTATTTCATGTAATGGTTGTAACATAGACTGTTAGGTTTCATAGTGTGTAAAGATAAAAAACATTGTATTTATTTATAATATCAATGAATTATCTACCATTATTTGCTTCACATTAATGTATATGAATTTCACACTATATAGTTACTTTCTAAATTAAATTCAACTTATGTAATCATAATTTATCAAAACTGCACTAAAATCTGTATTACACTCTGACATTAAATTCAATGTTGATATATTTATTATTTAATTTATTAGAATTATTGATAATTATTTCACATTTAAGAATTATAAGTTTTTAAACGTATTTTTCGGTTTTTGAACGATATAAAGAGTGTAATACAGGCCTACCTTAAGTCGCATACTCACATGTGTTAAAACGCGCCATCTGATGGCCGCTTGTATAGTAATATTTGTTACAATTTCCAAGGAAAGCAATGTTTTCCTTCATCAAGCAATATTAATATAAAAAAAATTAGTTCATAGATTATACATTAGATAAGATGGAAAAAAAAAAACGAATACTCATTTTGAGATAAATTGAAATATAAATTAGATAGTTAAGGTGATCTAGATATTAAATCGCGACAGCAATAATATATTTGTATGTAAAGCTATTGAGCGTTAAATTTTTAATAGTCGTAGTTAGTTGTGAATAATTGAGCTAGTGTTGTTATTTTTTAACGTGACAGAGATTATTTGTTCGTGTGAGACGTCTGGAGGCCGATCGTCACAACGCGTCGTGGAGGTTAACATCGTGTGATATAGATACATTTAATTAAGTTTATAGTCGTCAGCATTCATTAAAATAAAATGCAAAATTGTAAGAGTTTTTATTATTCTACGTACCTTTGAATTACGTCCCATTTAGTATGATTATTTTTACAGAAGTTACAGTAACAGGATTTTAGTAAGATTACAAAAAAGTATATTAATTATATATAAAATCAAAAAATAACAAAAACTAATTTTGTTTTTGTATGGATTTAATGTATTTTGTTTCCTTGTACGCAGTTAAATTACGCATATTTTTATTGTAGACAAAAGTACTTTGTAATTATTATAAATGAACCAAATATTAGTTAAAAAACAAAGTGACGGAAATTTTAAACCTTCATATGTACACTAACAGGTATAAATAAATTTGTATAGTCCGTTAGACTTAAGCTGAGCTTTGCATTTGTGTGAGTGAAAGTAAAAGTAGAGTTAGACAAAAAACTTTTAGAATTAAATTTTATTATAATTTAAATACATAGATACATAATATAAGTGCTAGAACTATTCTAGATTAAAATGAAATATGCACAACTAGTAACATATTGGCAAATAGAAAAGAATTAGAAGGTACAGAGAGTACCAAATTGCCTATACATCTCTGCCTAAATTATTGAAATTTTCTTATATATACATAATAGGGTCTAAAGCAAATCATTGTGTTTAAAAACTACAGTGATGATAAATAAAATATCTATCCGAAACTTTAATAACACACAAAAGTCCAATATTGTAATACACCAATCATTTTTCTATCTTTTAAAGTTCTCTTAATATTAAAAACGCTACACGTGATAAATGTTATAATGTAATTCAAAAACTTGTACAAAAGTTATGCCGTATATAGTATAATAGCAATGTATTAATTTAACACCTAAATATATTAAGATACTTTCTGGATAAAATTTATACGAAAATTGCACTGGGGAAAGAAACCGCGTAAAAATTACATGACAAAAAGAAATCCGAAATAACATACGTTTTAATAATAAAGATCATATTTTAAGTTGAACGCATTCTAAGCTTGCAGCTGTGCCAACTCTGTGGCGTAAAACCTGTGTTGCCAGACCGGAAAAACTATATGTCAACAATAAAGTTTATTGTTATGGCAATGCCAGCTTGCTTATTTTATGCTTTAGTTGCTTTACTCGTACGCGTGTTGGTAGTCAATGGACTGCTTGGTCAAGAAAATACAATATACATAACATACGAAGTAGATAAATAAACTGCCGTACATTATTGTTTATACTGTTAACGTGAATACACCTCGGACGCTCCGGTGATAATGTAACAGTGACAGTCGTGCAAAATAAAATATTTTTTGTGTAATACTGATTGTTTCACATAGTTTCGAGTACCGCCACATAAAAATTGTGATGGGTGAACTGTACACTCGCTATATCGAAGAGCAATATGTACGAAGCGGGATAAACATTGCGAGTTCGTGATCATCAGTTAGAATGCAAGACGAGTGTTCTGAACCGAGGAGGAACTTCGAGCGGAGGCCTACGAAAGTACTGAAGATAGCGGAGAGTTTTACAAACTTAGACGAGACAGCCAAGGCTGGTCGATTTGTGAGGGGTCCGAACTCAAAGTTCGGGAGGAGGTTTCAGGAGAATGGCGCGCGGAGTAGACACGGGTGTTGTGATGATGAGTGTGCGGAGTCAAGTGTCAGTGATGGTGAGAAACTCGGTGATCGCAGAGTGACCGGGTCCTCGTGCACAGCGCTAAGGACCGCGGTCGCTGCTCTGTACCCCTTCGACGACTTTATACTGGAGAAGATTGGTGCTGGCTTCTTCTCAGAAGTATTCAAAGTGAGTATCTTTATAAGAATCCTGTTGGTATTACATGTTGTCTAAGTTAAGCGGTATTCTAGTCATATATGAATGAAGATATACAATAGTCTTCATATAATCTATCAATACAAATTATTTTGAAAACTAATGGAGTATTCAATTTTGTTAGTAAACAATTGGTGATAATGTGATGCCAAATATTTGACACTATTATTATTGAGAACACAAGTAAGGAATCCCTGGCATTCTGCCCTCACTGATATATTTGAACTAGATTTTTGTTAATGAATTTATCTATTTATAAAACTCTCTTTATTTATAAATTTTGAGACTGTTGCAAAGAGCAGAATAAGAGATAATAAACTTTACATAATCTGATTTAAAATTAATAAATGTATTAAAATATCAGTAATTATTATTATAATATTATCATTAGAATTAAAATATAATTCATAAAATTATCTAATCTCATTAAGTCTAGACTGATGATGGAGTACCAAAAATATTATAATGGCTTCTCGTATTATAAAAATATTTATATTATTATTTGAATATTTTTATATTTTGTTCATTATTAACTCAAGTATTATCCTTATTTAATCACAACAATAATTTATTTAATTAAAAATAATTATATACTTCCTTATTACTTTTTTATTTTGCAGTACGTACTTTATAATATTTATTATATTTTTTGACTTAAAAGCAAAACCAATATATTTTGACACATCTTCACATAAAATATATATGAATTATAAGCTTATATAAAAGATATACTTACTTAAATTTAAAAAAACATTAATTTTTTACTATAGCTTACTTTAAGAAAAATATTGTATTTAAGTTCCGATATATTTATGTTTGAAGGGATTATTTATAGTATATTTTGCATGTTTTCCTATACTGTTAATGTTTCAAGTACATATTATTATTCAGAGCACACTCCTTATGGTTTTATGATGGTCCCCGACCTTGCCAGTGACCTCAAAGTTTGACATTTAGTTTTCATTAGTAGTACCGAACTACCTTGAACACATCAATGAAATGTAACAACAAATGGTACATAGTTTTTTATACAAACATACTATATTTTTAAATTATATATAGTCATTAAAAAGTTATTTTTATATATTTTTGTTTTTATATTTTCATAGTAATGCTATTTAAATGTCTGTAGCACTAAATAGTATAATTAAAATAAAAGCAGTGCTGTTATTTGTTAAGGCATTGTTTTCTCAAGTGTCGGTAAAGAAAGGCATGTCTCCATACTGATGTCATCGGCTAATATAACATAAATACATATGCAATAACATATATATACATGTACATATGTTTCAGAATGAAATGTATAGTTAACTAATTATTATTGCATATTTTTTTATATCTTCAGTTGGTTTCCGAACTTGATAAATCTAAAAATTTGTTACTATATAAAAGATGTTTTAGCACTATTAGTGGTATATATATTAATATAAAATACTTAGTCTTGCCATAAATATTATAAAGAATATTTTTTACCTATCCTATTGTTAAAGGCTTTAAATATTTTAAGAACAGTGTATTGATAAACCTGTGACAACATTTTCATGTTATTTTCACTAAATATGACTCAGCACATTAAATGTAAATGCACTCATATTGTTGTAAAAATTTTCTCATTAATAAATAACATTTTTCTATGACCTTCATTAACATACCATTTAAGTTAGTTTTGTTTTTACCAGCCGATACTTTTTAAATTTGCATGCATGGATCTCTTACAGTTTGCGATTCATTAATAATCTTCATCACCCAATATGAATTCCATTGCTTTAAGACAAGATTTCTTTGAATTAAATATTGCATGGATTGTCTTTTTTGTTTGAACATAAATTGGAATGATTTTTTTCTGCTAGAAAGAGAAGTTTCATTGTACTCAATCAATAGGTGAATACACAAACATTTTAGTAATACCAAGCATTGAAGGAGTTTAAAAATTGCATTAATTATCTGCATACCTAAATATGTTACGTAATGCAATCACAGCAATTAATTTCTCTTTATCGCCGCACTCCATTTTATCACAGAATATTTCACGATACATTGGCGCGAAAATAAAAACACATTGAGCATTCCTATAAACAATGCAGATTCTAAATTCAAAATATTTTGTCTTTTTTTTTTACATATTGTTAGAGCATTTTATATTTATGGCCAGGATTAAGTATTATATAATATTTTTTTCCTAAAATATATTTATATGATGTATTGAGTGAAGTGTCAAATCATATCCTTAATGCCTTATCGTTAGTGATGCGAAGTAAATGCTTCTCGGATATTAGGCACTTACAAAATGTAATTGTTCGCCTGCGTTGTTAGATTTACGTTTCTTTTTTTGCATATCACTTACGTAACTATTCCGTACAAAATCAAAGGAAAACGAGATACAGCCACGGGCAAAAGTATTAGGCACCCTACAGTAAGACAAGTTTTAGGGTGTTTTAGCATAGCGAGTGTAAATAAAACTGCATTTATGATTACAATGGTTTATTTTAAGAAAATAATTAATATTTTGTAGGTCCACCTTTTGACTTAATAACCGCAGGCACTCTTTTTGGCATTGACTCTACCAGCCTGAAACATTCTTCTCTTGATATATTTTTCCATTCCTGCTGTAACGCGGCCAATAGAGCTTGTTTATTGCTAATCGAGTGCCTGCGGATATTTTTCTTTAAAATGGACCAAATATGCTCAATCGGGTTGAGGTCTGGTGATTGTGGTGGCCAGTCCAAAAGATCAATATGATTTTCAGCAAACCACTTCATGGTATGCGCCGACTTGTGGCAAGTGGCGTTGTCTTGCTGAAATTTCAGGCCATCGGTGTTTGTATCACCGAAAATTTGCGTTACCGACGTTGCTAGTGCTGTTTCCAGAACTTCAGTGTATTTAACACTATTCATTCGTCCCTCACACAACACCATTTCGCCCACTCCGTCGGCAGCCATGCAGCCCCAGATCATTATTGAGCCTCCACCATGCTTAACAGTGGGAACCACACATTCTGGGTTGTATTCTTCGCCAACCCTTCGCCTAACATAAGTCACACCGGGTGTTCCAAACAGCTATGCCAAACGAAAAAAACACATTTATTTTCAAAGTTATTATTTTTCTTCCAGTACGTTATTTTAAAAACATTTATGTGTTTTAATATTCTACATAAAATAAATAACAATACCTCAAAGTTAGATTCGTCTGACCACAGTATGTTGGACTAATCTTCCACTGACCAATCTCTATGTTTGAATGCCCACTCCAACCGATTTTTCTTATTGTGTTCTGACAGCCACGGCTTCTTCCTTGCTTTACATCCTTTTAATTCAGCTTTAAGAAGTCTTCTTCTCACAGTATAAACACACACTGAGCTGCCTTTTGCCTCAGATAATGCTGCAGCGAGCTCTAAAGCAGTTTTTTTCCTGTTTTGTAGAGACTGCCTAATCAACAATCGATCTTCCCGTTCAGTAGTAACTTTTCTTCTGCCTGTTCTTGGTCTATTTTCATGGGTGCCAGTCTCTTTGAAGCGATTTATAGCTTATTGAACTGCACATCGCGAGCACTTCACTTCTCGGGCTATTTTAACCTGAGACATGCCTTGTTCATGTAAGATCTTAATTCTTAGACGCTGTTCAGCACTAAGTTCAGATTTTTTCGGCATGATTAACACGTTACATGTTAGTCTTTAGAATTGTGATAGGAATAGTTGCGTAGAAGACGTGTATGTTCACTACAAGCACTGATAACACACTATAACCCGAAACGCAAAAAAAGCAAATTCGAAGAAACACCGCTTAGGAGCACACCTGGATGTCATAAATATTTTCATTTATCTTAATTTGGTTAAAAATTGCCGCTAATACAACAGCTAAACCATAAAACACACACTTGACCGCAATATAATGAGATAGTGACTAACAATAGGGGTGCCTAATACTTTTGCACGCAGCTGTATTTAACATAAAAATTACGGAAGCGTGAAAATTAAGCGAATAATTTATGCATATATTATTATAAAAGCGTCTGGTTTTATAATTCTAGTAATAATATGTGCATGTTTATTGTTATTTTGCGAGATAGAGTTTTTGTGATTTACCTAATAACAAACGTTTTCAAGGTTTTTCTATTCACAAAAAAATATCGTAAATGAATACTTTGATGCTTTAAGTAATGAGTTAAAACGTAGCTACCTTAATACTATAGTACACTAATGAAACACTTTTCGGACATGTTTGTTATTAAATAAAATGCATCAAAATGTTCTATTATTGTAAGTTAATTTTTTTGAAATCATAGAGACGAGATATAAATTCTAAGAAATTATTAATATTTTATATATTCAATTGTTCATCATATCTTTAATACAATAGAAGGTTTGTTTAACCGTGCAATAGTAACGTGTTTTTGTGACATTGCAATGCAGGAAAATGTTTGTTAGGAAGTTGGTTTTATTAGCAGGATGTAACCTTCGGCCGAGGTTCCTTGGTAACAGTGAAATAATATTGATATGTACTTAGACAATTAGACATATCATATGATTTAGCGATGTTATCTATGTGTGTGCGTGTGTGTGTGTGTGTGTGTGTGTGTGTGTGTGTGTGTGTGTAACATTTATTAAGGATGCTGATTTCTATGAAACTTAACGTTTTCACAATTTTAAATTGTGTCTAATATTAGATTCACGTGTGTGTTACTCCGAGGGAGATGTTAAGTTTTAAAATATATTTTGAAATTTATTACGTTTAGAATTAATTGTGTCATAACTACATACATATAATATTGCGAATCTATAATGATTTTTTTTCTTATTATAGTTGAAAAAACTTGTAATTATACATATATTTTGCTTAGAGATTCTAGATTTGCATAATAATAAAATACTCTTTAATCTTGTACGCTGATTAAAATTGATGTTTATGTAATCTAAGCGTCGGTAAAATATAATTAATACTATATTCGAAAAACATTATAATTATAAATGTGTTGGAAAAAATCTGAGATATCTCTAAATATAAATATTATATCTTAAGATAAATTATTATCTTAATGTATATCTTTTAGGGTAAATTCCAAGTATAATGATAGTATGTTTTTGGTAGATATACTATTTAGTAAGTATGAGTAATAGTATGATACTCACCTCGACCGATCAA